GGGAAATAATAATTTTTCTGGGAAAAAACTGTAAGGGTTCCTCAATGGTAAGAGGTTTTGAAGAGGTGAAAAATTGGAAAATGCAGTGACTGCCTAATTTAATGCACTGGTGGCAGAAGAATGTTATGTGGTAAACAAGTTCGTAAGCAAATACGACAAAGGTTTAAATATAGGAAATGATTATGTAGAGAAGTGGAAGAAGTTTCAAGGAATGTAACAGAATTGGGATTGTTTTCAATATATATTTTGTTTTTTACCTTCATAACTAAATGGTCTTTATTTTCTGAATAACCCTCTTATATATATTTCTGCATAGATTTTTATCACGCATAACCTAAGATATTTCTATGCACCTCTTCAACTCGTAGTTTCCATAATTTTATACAAAGTTTCTCTTAAATTTTGATATCCTTTTTAGATTCATAGGTGTGTCGTAATGTTTTAATTATTACTAAGAGGTATCAGGATAAAAAATTTACTTTTCATATTATTGTAAATTATAACTATTAATGTTGATTTGGTTTTAGGAAGCCGTAGATTAAAATAATCTGCTACGTGGAAAAGACAGAGCCTCATTCTGTGATTAAGTTCCTTCATTTGAAAGGTTACAGTGTCCGTCAAATCCCCTATGGAATGAGTATTGCTTATGGAAAGGATAGCTCATCTTATGATAGTGTTGTGAAGTGGAAAAGGAATGTATAAACTGGCCACATAACCCTCACAAACGTTCTAAGAAATGGAAGACTGTCATTCACGGAGGATGCTTCTACAATTAAGAAATATCAGTCGTTATTCTTAAAGACGGAAGAACAACCATCCAACTGATTACGAATTAAAAAGATTAAGGTAGTGTGAGAAAAATTACAGAGTTTGCACGCATGCCAAAGTCATTAATGCGTTGTGTTCTGTTATTCATCATCAGCAGCATCATATCTGGCAAGACAGTCCCTCATGGGTCAGTGCCTGCCTTTGAAGATTCTTCCATAATGAACCCTTGTTTACTTTTGTTCTCCTTCTCGTTTATATAATCCCAAAATCTGATTCCATTGAGTCTGCCCATCTCAGCCTTGGTCTTCCACGTTTACGAATCCTTTGAACTGCAGTACCTTTTTGACAACATTATCATCAGGCATTCGAGTTATATGGGCCATCCAATTCACTCTACTTATTTTTATGTATTTAATGATGTCAGGTTGTTTATAAATTCTATATAATTCAAAATT